GCTCTTGAGGACTCCTGAGGAATCCTGAGGACTCCTGAGGAAGCCACCCGCCTGAAGGATCCTGGAGGATTTCTGAAGGATTCTAAAATATTCTGAAGGATGATGAACGAGTCTGTAGGATTCTGTAAGCTTCTGGAAGATTATGTAGACTCTAAAGAGTCTCAAAAAAACGAAGGTTCTGAAGGCTTTTGGATCCTGAGAGATTCTGAAGAACTCTTGAGATACTCAACCAATCCTGAAGGAAGCTGAAAACTCCGGAGGAATCCTCAAGGCCCAAGAAGAATCCGGAAACCTCCGAACGAACATTCAACAACCCAAACGATTCTGGGGGATTTTCAACGAATCTTCAAACAACCACGGGATTTCTACAGAATCTGGAACGTCCTGCGCAATCCTGAGATTCCGAACGGATCGTCAAGAATACTGGGGCTTCCCACGGTCGAGAGATCACGGTCGAGCTCAAGTACATTTGTTGTGCAGAGATCACGGTCGAGGTGGCGACAAGTACACCAAGGGGCGTCTCCTTCTCGCCCGCCTGTCCCATCTGAGCGACGATGAAAAACGGGTCGTAAGGGAGATGGCGTAGCGACCTTACGCGGCGGCTTACGCGGGCCGCCAACGCGTCACACCACCTTGGAAACGAGGGCGCATTCGCGCGACCTTACGCGGGCAGCTTATGCGCCAATGTTGGAGCACACGACTCCGTGTTTTTGCGTCGCTCATCTGCCTTTCCTGCTGGCGTACAGGGTCGGCGCCGCTAGCCTCGAGGCCCCGCAGGGTTGGGGCGAGGGGGGTCAAGGCAGAAGGAGAGATCAGCACTTTCAGCACATGCGTTTCCAGAAGGGCGCCGCCTCCGTGTAGGCGGGAGGTCGGCGCAGATACTGGTAAGCACCTCCTGCTGCGCGCTTGCCCGCGCCAAACCTGAAAACGCTTGTACAACAACGGCTTCGGCGTGAAGACAGAAATGATAATAATGATAAGCCTCCGCCGCGACCATCCATCCAACTAAAAAGAACTACAAATGATACGTAGCACCCCGCAATTGCGGATAAGAGTGAGGGGGCGGGCGCGGGCGACGCGGGCGTCGTCGAGCCGGCGGACCTCGTGGCCCCCACCTTCCCTGTCGATGGCGCTCTCCTCCTCCTCCTCCTCCTCCTCCTCCTCCTCTTCCTCGTCCTCGTCGTTTTCGTCATCGTCATCCTCCTCCTCGACCTCGTCCTCCTCCTCTTCTTCCTCGTCCTCCCTCTCCCCCCCTCGTCCTTCGATCATCGTCCTCCCATTGTCGTCCACCCCCTCATCGGCCTCCACCATCGTCCTTCAATTGTCGTCCATCATCATCTCCTCCCCCTCCTCCCCCCTCCTCCCTCGTCCCTCCTCCCCCTCCTCCCCCTCCTCCCTCTCCTCCTGCTCCTCCTCCTCCTCCTCCTCTTCCTCCTCCTCCTCCTCTTTCTCCACATTCTCCTTACATCCTCTCTTCTTTCGCGTCCTCCTCGTCCCCTGTTTACTCCTCCTGCCTCCCCCTCCTTTCCCAAGATAACGGCAACGCAATCCTTTTTTCCACTTTATGCTCCCCGACTTCTCTGATCAAGGCAACTCGCCAGGGCAAAGTTGCTGGACGGGCTGGTGTGGATGCGCGGGGCTTGAAGAGGTCGTTGCGGGCTCAGGCGGCATGCAAACATCCGCCGCCGCGCTTGTGCGGCATTGGTTTGTTCAATGAACGTGGTTTGGGTCGCGGGTGGGTCGCGGGCTCTCCACCTCCACCTGAAAGGAATGCAAAAGCAGCCCGCCGCAGGCGCCGAAAAATTGGTTTGTACACTGAACGTGGAATGGGTCGCGGGTGGGCCGCGGGTTCTCCACCGGGAACGAATGCAAAAGATGCCCGCCGCAGGCGCCGAAAAATTTGGTTTTTACCCTGAACGTGGTCGCGGGTGGGCCGCGGGCTCTCCACCTGAAACGAATGCAAAAGATGCCCGCCGCAGGCGCCGAAAAATGTGGTTTGTACCCTGAACGTGGTTTGGGTCGCGGGTTGGTCGCGAGTTGGTCGCGGGGTGGGTCGCGGGCTCTCCACCTGGAAGGAATGCAAAAAAAGCCCGCCGCAGGCGCCGAAAATGTGGTTTGTACCTTGAACGTGGTTTGGGTCGAAGGTGGGTCGCGGGTGGGTCGCGGGGTGGTCGCGGGTGGGTCGCGGGTGGGTCGCGGGTGGGTCGCGGGCGGGTCGCGGGTGGGTCGCGGGGTGGGCCGCGGGCGGGTCGCGGGGTGGGTCGCGGGTGGGTCGCGGGGGGGTCGCGGGGGTGGGTCGCGGGGTGGGTCGCGGGGTGGGTCGCGGTGGGGTCGCGGGTGGGTCGGGGTGGGTCGCGGGTGGGTGGGGTCGCGGGTGGGTCGCGAGGCGGGGTTGCGGGTGGGACGACGACAACAAACACACAACAACAACAACAACAACAACAACAACAACAACAACAATCATTTTACCCGAACGCGTGGTGTTCTCCCCAGTGCCAGGGTTTTCATACGACACCAGGCAATACCCCCACTTCGTGGGGGGGCATTACAAGCTCTACCAAATATCCAAACGACTCTTCGCGACCACCCAAACCCAGCTTCCCGCCCTATGACGTTGGGACACTTCACTTCGTGGCGTGCGGACGACCGTGGCTACTACACTGGCGTGGGGTACACACCCACAGAACTTGGTCACTTATTCGGGGCGGTGTATGTCCCGCAAAAAAACGAATCTGTCCCGCATGGTATTATTTGACAGGGATGATGGCCCTGGCAGGTGCGCAACCGTTGTCGCAGAAGTTCGAAAAAGTTGCTCGCAAAAGCCCGTTTGACAGAAATGTTTAAAAAGTGTTGGGTTTCCTACGAATCCGCAAGAGCGCGCGGGATGAGATTTTGACATTTTTTTGTTGAAAAACCATTGGTTTTTTGATGTTTTTATGTTGAAATCGCTCCGAACACTAAGCTTTTGGAAGGATTTCGTCTTGCGCGCGCGAATGTCCACTTTACCTTATTTTTTGCAAGGGATTCTTGAAATTTGATTATATTTGAACAAGAAATTTCATTTTATAGTGTTTTTTGCAAGGGAAAGCGGATTACAACAAAACAACCGGATCTTGATCACCTCGAATTACCTGAGGCTTCCTCACGAAAATGATGAAAACGTGGCTGCGGCCTAGGCGCGGCGGGGGGGGCGCGCACCAGGGGGCCCAACAATAATTATTCTTTAGAATTAATAATGTTCAACAACAACAACACCAACAACAACGAGAATCCGCACCGCGGAATCCCATTTCAGCCACGCACCCATGGACAGTGAATGACCGTTCGGCCCCCTCACTCTGATAATGCTTCACAGCCCCACCTGGGGCCGAGAAGCCTTCGGAAAATACCTGCCCTACTATGCTCGGCGGTCCAGCATTAGGATACCGAGACACCTCGCGCAGCAACGGTATGGCACATGCTTTGCAAGCTCGGCGATCCTGAATGATGGAGCCGAGACTAACAAACCTTGCGTGCGAAAGTGGCAATTCCTTCCAATCGGAACCAGGCTGTTGAAACACTCGGCACATTGCGCCTGGGTGGCGTTCGTCAGGGGGAGCCGACGAGAGGGTGGCGGATGTGATGGGCGAGAGGGAGGAAGGGAGGTGGAGGGGAAGGGGGATAACGCAGGGGAGGCGATGGGGAAGCTGACGGGCAAGGGGGGGATAATAAGACCGATCCCAACTACTTTGGACTGTTCGCGAACCACTTCAGACCGATTACAACAACTGGAAACGAACTGATCGCAATCTAAAACATTTCTATACTAACTACTCTAAGAAGGGAGCACTGGATTACAACCGCGAAGAGAGATTCTGAAGAGCGTCTGGAAGGCTTCACACCTACGGGCTCTTGAGGACCCCTGAGGAATCCTGAGGATTCCTGAGGAATCCACCCGCCTGAAAGATTCTGGAAGATTTCTGAAGGATTCTGAAATATTCTGAAGGATGACGAACGATCATGTAGGATTATGTAGGCTTCTGGAAGAATATGTAGACTCTAAAGAGTCTCAAAAAAAACGAAGGTTCTGAAGGCTTCTGGATCCTGAAAGATTCTGAAGAACTCTTGAGATTCTCAACCAATCAGAGGAATCCTCAGGGCCCAAGAAGACTCCGGAAACCTCCGAACGAACATTTAACAAGCCAGACGAATCTGGAGGATTTCCAACGAATCTTCAACCAAGGGATTCCTACAGAATCTGGAACGTCCTGCGCAATCCTGAGATTCCGAACGGATCCTCAAGAATACTGGGGCTTCCCACGGTCGAGAGATCACGGTCGAGCTCAAGTACATGTGTTGTGCAGAGATCACGGTCGAGGTGGCGACAAGTACACCAAGGGGCGTCTCCTTCTCGCCCGCCTGTCCCATCTGAGCGAGCTTATGCGCCAATGTTGGAGCACACGACTCCGTATTTTTGCGTCGCTCATCTGCCTCTCCTGCTGGCGCACAGGGTCGGCGCCGCTAGCCTCGAGGCCCTGTCAACTGCCCGACCTCTCTCGTCTTCCAGTGCGCTCGACTTACGCTCCTCCACGGAAATCTCTTCCCAAAGGGGAGCCCGCGCCACTTCCCGGCAACGGCGCAAGAGGACCGCGTGAGTTTGAAATTCGTCGGCGCCATCGCAATACCTGCACCTGGGACCGGCACTGGGGTGCTCCAGAGCGGGACGGGGAGAGGGACAGGGAGAGGGACAGAGGAAGGGACAGATAACAAGCGAGAGAGAGAGAGAGAGCAGAGAGAGAAGAGAGCGAGATAGAGAGAGAGAGAGAGTGAGAGGGAGATTGAGGATGGGGAAAAAGAGAAAAAGAGAGAGAGAGAGAGAACAAGAGAGAACAAGAGAAAACAAAACAGCAAAACAACAAAAAACAAGGAAGAGAAAGAGACAGAAAAAGAGAACGAGAGAGAGAGAGATGACGAGAGCAGGGCAGCGAGGGCTCCGGAGACTCCGAGCGGGGAGCAGGCCCTCAGAGATACAGGCCCCTCAGGAAAAAGTTGTGCGCCACCTTGACCCTGCCGTCCACGGGGCGGCCGCCCTCGGCCCACGCCGCGTGCAGCGCCGCCGCGCCCTCGTCCCCCACGTTGTTGCCGCCGAGGTGGAGCGCCGTCAGGCTCGGCAGGGCGCCCGGGGCCCGGAGGGCCGCCGCCAGGGCGGCCGCGCCCTCGTCCCCCACGCGGTTGGAGCGGAGGTCGAGCACCTGCAGGCGCGGCAGGGCGCCCGGGGCCCGGAGGGCCGCCGCCAGGGCGGCCGCGCCCTCGTCCCCCACGTTGTTGCCGCCGAGGTGGAGCACCTGCAGGCTCGGCAGGGCGCCCGGGGCCCGGAGGCCCGCCGCCAGGGCGGCCGCGCCCTCGTCCCCCACGCGGTTGGAGCGGAGGTCGAGCACCTGCAGGCGCGGCAGGGCGCCCGGGGCCCGGAGGGCCGCCGCCAGGGCGGCCGCGCCCTCGTCCCCCACGTTGTTGCCGCCGAGGTGGAGCACCTGCAGGCTCGGCAGGGCGCCCGGGGCCCGGAGGGCCGCCGCCAGGGCGGCCGCGCCCTCGTCCCCCACGTGGTTGAACATGAGGTCGAGCACCTGCAGGCTCGGCAGGGCGCCCGGGGCCCGGAGGGCCGCCGCCAGGGCGGCCGCGCCCTCGTCCCCCACGTTGTTGCCGTCGAGGTCGAGCTTCTGCAGGCTCGGCAGGGCGCCCGGGGCCCGGAGGGCCGCCGCCAGGGCGGCCGCCCCCTCGGCCCCCACGCTGTTGCCGCCGAGGTGGAGCTCCTGCAGGCTCGGCAGGGCGCCCGGGGCCCGGAGGGCCGCCGCCAGGGCGGCCGCCCCCTCGGCCCCCACGCTGTTGCCGCCGAGGTGGAGCTCCTGCAGGCTCGGCAGGGCGCCCAGGGCCCGGAGGCCCGCCGCCAGGGCGGCCGCGCCCTCGTCCCCCACGCGGTTGGAGCGGAGGTCGAGCACCTGCAGGCGCGGCAGGGCGCCCGGGGCCCGGAGGGCCGCCGCCAGGGCGGCCGCGCCCTCGTCCCCCACGCGGTTGTGGCTGAGGTCGAGCTCCTGCAGGCGCGGCAGGGCGCCCGGGGCCCGGAGGGCCGCCGCCAGGGCGGCCGCGCCCTCGTCCCCCACGTTGTTGGAGCGGAGGTCGAGCTTCTGCAGGCTCGGCAGGGCGCCCGGGGCCCGGAGGGCCGCCGCCAGGGCGGCCGCGCCCTCGTCCCCCACGTTGTTGCCGCTGAGGTCGAGCGACTGCAGGCGCGGCAGGGCGACCGAAGCAAGCACCGCGGCCATCTGCCTGACCTCCTCGTCCCCCCATCCCAGGTCCATGTAGTACAGCCACTCTGCGGACTCGAAGCGCTGCGCGAACGCCGACCGGTACAGCTCGGCAACCCGTGGGCGATCGTCCTTGCCGTTCGTGAAGACCTTGCTGTGGAGCTCCGCTTCGAAGGCGTCGGGCAAGGCCGGCGCCTTCCGCCCTGCGGACCCCGTTTGCACCAGCGAAAGGGCATCGGGGCCAAAAAACCTTACCTCGTCTCCAGTGGCTAGTCCGAGGTCCACCAAGAACCACGAAGGCTTCGTCAACATTGCCCATGAGGACTCGCAAAAACACCAGCCGCGGTCGAAATAAGGCGCAATGTTGCCAGATCGGGTGTATTTTGCAAAATTGTCGTAATCGTCGGGGAACCGTGTCAGCATGAATACGACTGTGGCGGGGTGGGAGTAGAAACTCCCAAGGCTGCCCAAGGCATCCGTGAAGAGCTCACGCTCGCGCTCGAATTTGCCGATTGCGTTGGCCTCAAAGCACTCGGAACCTTCGAGCCGCTGATACGTGCACCGCTGAGGGGCGCCCTCGCAATCCCTGCAGTTCTGGTGAATGCAACAGAAATCCATGAACACTGCCCAGCGGCCATCTGCGGACAGCAGCTGCAAGGCCCGGCTCAGGATGCGCAGGTTGTGGCCGTGAGGGTCGGGGTGGTTAGCTTGCAACCAACAGTGTGAGATACAAGCGACGTGCAGATTTAGCCCTTCGTCAGGTGTGGCAGCTTTGACCTCGCTGTGGGGCATAAACGCAGTCGGCGGCAAGGCCTGGCGCGGCTCGAGGGTTCCGCCGGAGCCCGCCCGCTCCACCACCCACTCCGCGTCCACCAGGACAACCGCCCCGCTGCCGAGCACGGGGTCGAGCTCAAGGCCGCCGCACTCCTCCCACCGCTCCTGCTTCCGCTCCGTCACTTCCACCTCCTCCAACTCGGGCAGGTGCGGCTGCTGCGTCGCCCCTGCGACCTCGCTGGCCTCCTGCCCCACGGCGCTGCCGTCGCAGCAACTCCAGCACGAGCACTTCGCAGCCAGCGCGCCGCCCTCCTTCGCCGACATCTTGGAAGCCGCGCGGAGGCCCAGGTGGTCCACAGCACCGCAGCTGCAGAGGTGTGCGATAAGCAGCGGGCCGCAAGAGGGTCGGAACTGGGGAAACCAGGAGGTACCGATACCGCTGCTCCCTGGACCTCTGCCGGGGTGCGTTCTGACCAGGATTTCGAGGCGAATCCAGCCGTGGCGACGAAGGCCTACCAGGAGGCCGAGATAGGGGAAAACGAGGGAAGCGTAGCGGTAATGGGCACCTGTTCCTCCTCCGAGGAACTCCCTGGCTCTTGGGCCAGGCTGCGGACCCCCTCTCTCTCCTCGCCCTCTTCCACTCCACGATTCGCCTCCACCCGCTCTCCCTCGCCCCCCGCCCCCACCCGTCCGCTTCGTGCACCTCCTCTCTGGCTCGCCCTCACGCTCGGCCCTCTGCTCCCCTCCCGAGGCACTCCCTTCCCCACTCCCTGCTGCATCAGACTGCTGGGAGCCATGTGCCTCGAAACGATGTCCGCGTCCTGGCTTCTGCAGAACAACTCTTCCGTGTGCCCCGATAACGATAACGATAACGATGACAACGATAACAACGGGGACAACGATAATAACGTTAGGTCGGGCCTGTCCCCCTACAGGGGGCTTTTCGACGAAGAATAAAAAGTACCCCCAAAATGCTCAAAACAGAATCCAAACATAGTCTGGGGACTATTTTGTTTAGCATTGTTTGACCTTTTTGGGGCATTCGTTTGGTATTTCCTATTTATCGCCAGAAATCCCCCTGCAGGGGGACAGGCCCGACTTAAAAACAACGATTACGATCACAACGATAACGATCGGGCCCGTTTAAGCCCATTCAGGTGGCTCCACGGGGGCCTCGCGGTGAGGAGAGCGAGATCCCAGATTCCCATTGGGAAGCTTAAGGGAACTCACTGCATCCAGACGCGCTCTGATGCTGTTCCCGTGATTCGAGGCCTCATGAAAGCGTCCCCGAAGCCTCGCAACCACTTCGGTCGGACCGATCGCAACTGGCTGCGATCGGTCCGAAGTGGTCGACGATCGGTCCGAAACGGTTGCGACCCTTCGTCGTCGTGGTCGGGGGGGGGGGGAGGGGCGACTCAGACCCCCGACTTCGTGATTTTTGTCGCGATGTCGACCCCCAGGGGTCTGGACCCCTTCACTGGAGCTGGCTTCTGTCCTGTCAGTAAACTAACCGAAATACAAACAAAATGTGCTGAGACGGAAACTCATACCACCACAAAACATCGGACGAATCACACCTGTTCACACACCGTGTCCATCCTGCACCGTTCTTTGACGGCCCCGAGGCCCGGCAAAGGCCCCCATGGGGCCCAATGCAGCGAAGGAGCACTTCCGTCGCGCGTTGTCTCGCCACGCGAGCGGGGGGGTTCTGGGGAGGACGGGGGGGCGCGGGACGTGGGAGGCCGCGGGGGCAGGCGGGCGGAGGGGCAAGGGCGGAGGCCACCGCGGCCCCGCGGCGGGAGAGCCCACAGTCGAGCTCGACAGGTCGGATCGGCGATCGAACGGAATCGGATCGGCGGAAGTCGGCAGCCGAGTCGGGAGAGAAGTCGAATCGGCAGACATCGGCATGCCAGTGGGCCTCCGTTATTGAGGAGTCGGCATCCAGAGCGGGGCCCGAAGCCGACTCGAAGGGAGTCGGAATCCCTCGAGGCCGAAGCCGAAGCGAACCGGAGGAGCCGAAGCGAGCCCTTAGTGGGCCCTGGAAACGACAGGGCCGTTTTTTTACTGGTTCCGTTTTGTCGTGTTTTGCCGGTTCGACGCCGTTTTTTACAGGTTCTGTCGCCGTTTTTTTACCGATTCGGGCTCCGGCTCCTGTCTTGGAGCCGTTTCTTTGCCGTTTCCGGTCGCCTTTTTTTTGCCGCTTCCATTCTCAAAAGACATTTTTGTGGAAACGGTGAAAAAAAACGGCCCTGCCGTTTCCGGGGCCCACAAAGGGCATGTCCCCCTACAGGGGCACACCCTAGGGGAATGAAAGGTGTCATAAGCATGGAAAATCCGAGGGGAAATCCTAGGAGAATATCCGAGGGTATCCTAGGGGAATATCCCCTGAGATCCGACGATGCAAAAAACATGCGACATCGGAAAACATCACGACTGGAGCCTCAGACCCTACCTTTCTGCGTCATTTTTCGAGCCGGATGGATCTGCGAGGGTCCTGGGGCGCCCGAGATTGAACGAAAACGCCAGGCGCGATAAAATTGCAACGCCAGGATCTCGGGGACCTAGGGTGAAATCAGAAACCCGCCTACAGGGGGAACTATCCTAGGGGAAAGAAGGGTGTCATAAGCATGGGAATATCCTAGGGGAACACTCTAGGGGAATATCATAGGGTACCCCAAGGGAATAGCCCCTGAGATCCGACGTTGCAACAAAAAGGCGACATCGGAAAACATCCGAAATTTTTCGGGCCGGATCGATCTGTGAGGGTCCCGGGGCCCGAAATTGAACAAAAACGCCACGCGCGATAAAATTGCAACGCCAGGATCTCGGTGCCCTAGGGTGAAATCAGAAGCCCGCCTACAGTGGGAAATATCCTAGGGGAACGAAAGGTGTCATAAGCATGGGAATATCCTAGGGGAACATCCTAGGGGAATATCCTAGGGTATCCTAGGGTATCCTAAGGGAATACCCCCTTAGATCCGACGTTGCAAAAAATGCGACATCGGAAAACATCACGACTGGAGCCTCAGACCCTACCTTTCTGCGTCATTTTTCGGGCCGGATCGATCTGTGAGGGTCCCGGGGCCCGAGATTGAACGAAAACGCCAGGCGCGAAAAAAACTGCAACGCCAGGATCTGTGGCCCTAGGGTGAAATCAAAAGCCCGCCTCCAGGGGGAAATATCCTGAATAACCCACAGGGTAAAAAATCAACAGCCCGCCTGCAGACGAGCCCCGACGCGATGCTCGAGGCCGGCCCGCGCGGGAGGCCGGCCGGGGCCTCCCGCCGAGCAGACATTGGCTCCACAGGATGGAAGGAGGAGGAGGAGGAAAAACACTGAAACCAGGAAGGTAATTATCACTTAACTCCGAAGTTAAGTGATTGCCTCCTTATGTATTGCTACCACCTTCACGACGACTTACCTCCGCAGTTAAGTCACTCTATGAGTGCTGCTTCCACCCGGCCGCAAAATCACTTAACTCCGGAGTTAATTGATTCCGCGAGCTGCCCCTGCCCTTCATTCGGCCCGGGAAAAGCGAAAAGGGAGAGTTGCAAAAGGGAAGGACAGGGAAGGAAAAGGGTTGGAAAAAGGAAAGAAAAAGGGAAGATAAAGGGATGGAAAAGAGATGGAAACAGGGAGGGAAAAGGGAGGGACAAGACAGGGAACAAGATAGGGAAAAGAGATGGAAAAAGGAAGGGAAAAGGGAGGATAAAGGCAGGGGATAGAAAGGAAAAGACAGGAAAACAAGTATGGAAAAAGGGATGGAACACATTATGGAAAAAGACAAGGACAGGGGAGGAAAAGGGAGGGAAAAGGGAAGGGAAACGGAGGGAAAAGGGATGGAAATGGGAAGAAAAAGGGAGGGAAAGGACAAGGACAGAAAAAGGGAGGGAACAGGGAAGGAAAAGGGAAAGAACAAGGGAAGAAAAAGGGATGGAAAAGAGATGGAAACAGGGAGGGAAAATGGAGGGACAAGACAGGGAACAAGGGAGGGAACAGAGATGGAAAAAGAAAGGGAAAAGCGAGGAAAAAGGCAGGGGAAAAAAGGAACAGAAAGGAAACAAGTATGGAACAAGGGATGGATCACATTATGGAAAAAGGCAAGGAGAGGGGAGGAAAAGGGAGGGAAAAGGGGAGGGAAACGGAGGGAAAAGGGATGGAAATGGGAAGAAAAAGGGAGGGAAAGGACAAGGACAGAAAAAGGGAGGGAACAGGGAAGGAAAAGGGAAGAAAAAGGGAAGGAAAAGGGAAGGATAGGGGGGGGGGGGAGGGAGGGAAAAGGGAAGGAAAAGGCAGGGAAAAGGGTGGGAAGGACAAGGGAGGAAAAGGAAGGGAAAATATATGGAAAAAGTGACGGGAAAGGGAAGGAAAAGGGAAGGAAGGGAAAATGGGAGGGAAAACGGTAGGGAAAGGAAGGACAAGGAAGGGAAAAAGGTAGGGAAAGAAAAGAGAAGGAAGGGAAACGGGAGGGAGCATTTACGAAAAAGGATAGAAAATGGAAGGACAGGGCGGGAGGGAACATAAATTGAAAAAGGGAGGGGGGAAAAGGGAGCGAACAGGAATGGACAATATAAAGAAAAAGGAAAGGAAAAGGGACGGAAAAGGGAGGGAAAAGGGAAGGAAAATGGGAGGGGAAAGTGGAGGGATAAGGATGGGGAAAGGAAAAAAAAAAAAAGGGAGGGAAAATGGAAGGACATGGGGGGGAAAAGCGATGGATAATTGAAAAAGGGAAGGAAAAGGGAGAGAAAATGGATAGGAAAAAGGAGGGGGACAAGGGAGGCCCCGACAGAGCGGGCAGGGTATCGGAATACCATATTATGCACACCGTTTCGCACCCGCCTCTCCGGACCCCCAAGAATTCCCAGATATCCCTGAGGGGTTCCTGCGGGTTCGGTTCCAAAGGGCCCCCGATGATTCCCAAGGGAACCCTCAGGATTCCCAGCAGTTCCTCAGGGGGCCCTGAGGATCCCGAAGGTTTCTCAGGGGGTCCCGGGGATTCCCGAGGGATTCCGACAGATTCCTGAGGATCCGAAGGATTCCGACGGGATTCCTAGAGACCCCTTAGGATTCCGAAGAGATTCCTAACGATTCCTAAAGGATTACTACTAGGTTTCTCTGGATTCTTGAGATTTCTAAAAAGTCCTGGATTCCGCATGCCGCGTTCCTGGATTTCAGATTTCCTACAGTCCGGGGGTTCTATAGATTCTTTGATTTCTATGGATCCCAGGAAATCTTCGAGTTTCAACGATTCCTGGGTTCCTGGCGTCTCGGCGTTTCCTCAATTTCTGGATCATGGTAATTCTATTTCCAAGATTTGCAGGAATTCCATGGAACTCCTTCCGTGACGGCTCGGGACGCCCGCCGTCTTTCCAACGCTTTTCCGCCGCCCCCCGCTGCCTTTCCGCCTTTCCGCCGTCGTTGCGCCACCCTTCCGCCACCCTTCCGCCGCCCTTCCGCCGCCCTTCCGCCACCCTTCCGCCGCCCTTCCGCCACCCTTCCGCCGCCCTTCCGCCACCTTTCCGCTGCCCTTCCGCAGCCATTCCGCCGCCCTTTCCGCCCTGCCGCCGCCCTTCCGCCGCGCCTTTCCGCCGCCCTTCCGCCGCCCTTC